GTATGTATGTATGTATGTATGTATGTTCCTTTTCTTATTTTATGGCGGACGTGCAGTATCCTGCGGGAAAAGGAGCTACGGCTCAAGCCGCTCTACCGGTTGCCCAAGGAATTCAGCCAGCTGACGAACTAGTAGCTCATGGAGCTCAAGCGGCCGGTGGTCAAGTAGCTCAAGTAGTTCAACAAGTTGTCGGACAGGAGGCTTTACCGGCTGCCGAACACGTGGCTCAGAAAATTCAACCAGCCGCGGCACAAGTTCCTCAACAAGCTGTGGGACAAGCTGAACACGGAGAGCTTGAGGTAGAGTATGTTTACTTCTGTCGCTTATGTGTGTTTTTTATAAATTGCGAACAGGGACAAGGGCGGCAACCCTTTAATTGTCTTCCCTTTTTTACCTGTTTTCGGTTTTCCCGCTCATTCATTGTTCGTGTTTTTAGTCAGTTTGTTGGTTGTTGTTAAGCTTATATCGGCAATTCTAGTGTATTTCGGGTCTTGGCGGGTTTTCTATGGGTGACTATATGTTGTTAACGTGGGTGACGTGTATATTTTTTATCTCGTGGACACGGGGAATGTTTATTTGCGGCTCGGTTATTTTTTCTTTTTTGTTCGGAAATTGTTATTTAGGATCATGCAAGAGCTGGAGGGGGCAGAGGCGTACCGCTGGTATTTGTTTGACGTTTCCATAGAATTTCAAAGGTGATAATTTACCAAAGCAAAGAGCGATGAGGTGAGAGTTCACCATGGAAAAGAGCAGTGGGGTGAGAGTTCACCATGAAAAAAGAGCAATGGGGAGAAAGTTCACCATCAGAAAAAGAGTGATGGGGTGAGAGTTCACCATGAGGAAAAGAGCAGTGGGGTGACAGTTCACCTTGAAAAGAAAAGAGCAATGGGGTGACAGTTCACCTTGAAAAAGAGCAATGGGGTGAGAGTTCACCATGAGGAAAACAGCAGTGGGGTGACAGTTCACCTTGAAGAGAAAAGAGCAATGGGTGAGAGTTCACCATAGAAAAGAAAAAGAACAATGGGTGAGAGTTCACCATGAGAAAAAGAGCAATGGGGTGACAGTTCACCATAGAAAAGAAAAAGAGCAATGGGGTGACAGTTCACCATAGAAAAGAAAAAGAGCAATGGGGTGACAGTTCACCATAGAAAAGAAAAAGAGCAATGGGTGACAGTTCACCATGAGAAAAAAGAGCAATGGGGTGAGAGTTCACCGTGAAAAGAGATGTGACTTCACTATATAAAAGAAAAAGAGCAATGGGGTGAGAATTCACCGTGGTAACAAAAAGAGCAATGGGGTGAGAGTTCACCACGGAATGTCACGGTTTGCTTTATTTGGGGGCTGTTGAGTGGCATGTGAGGGTGATGTTGTACATTAAGTCAATTTCCCCTTCTTATTATTCTAGACTCTAAAGAAGAACTTTGCTGACCTCCAAAAGTCACTTGATGAATTGACAAGGCTCTCAGTGGCTACTGTGATAAGGAAGGTGTTGGATTATGCAGCACGGCCGCTCTCTGAGTTCAATAAGTTTGAGGCGATAGACATCCTAGAAACCCTCCAGAATACATCCCGGGATAATCAGGATGAGAAACGTGAATTTTACCGTTTGGTGTACCAGACAGCTAGACGGAAAGCGGACCTTCCAAAAGAGCACTTCCAGGCTCTGGTTCTACGCCTTCTAGGGGATAAAGATCACACTTAAGTGTATGAAGCTGTCGCAAAGGTGGACAAAGCGATGGGCACAGGGAGCCCATGGTCTGGTTCGTCTCACCGTGAGCGTAGTAGTGATATTCCGTACAAGGGGCGTGGCACGAGAAGTAGTGCTCCGGTCCAATGCTATTTTTGTGGAAAGTTGGGCCACATTATGGCGAGGTGTTACGCGAGGAGGGATATGCAGCAAAGGCCCCCGGCGACCCGTGGTCGCGCTGGGGACAATAAGTAATAAAGAATCTGGAATTAAATAGAAGCAAGGCGTTTTTATTTTTGTTCCATAAATACGTATATATTCTCTTTCTTGATTGTAGCAAGTACAATAAAATGGATCTTGGAGGTGATTGTTGTTTGATTTAATGCGATGCGAAGCGTTGTGTTAAGTTAACAAAGTGTTACATGAGGGTGTTCGGGTGAGCCACTAAACATAGCAGAGGAGTGAAATGAATATATGCTTCTATACCTACTTAAATCCAATACTCCTCTTTCTCTCCCTTTTTGGATTTGCCCTTGGTGCGAATATCGCTTTCTTTTCGCTTTCCCGTATTTTACTTTGTCTGCACTGTGGTCACAGAGATTTGAACGTTTTGAAAACGGGGTATCTCAAAATCCTCCCGGTCATATTGGGTCAAAGCTGTCCTCTCTCTCTCTGCTGACTTGTACGGGGTTTTTGTACATGTAAAAAAGATTCCTTTTACCTCTTTTCTTTTTTCCCCTCTCGGCGATATTCCTGGTCATGGGAAAAAGATGATAACTTTGACAACTTTATCGATAATGCTGATGTTTGCGCAGGTGCGATACAGTGGGTAGACATAAGGGGAAACCCTGTATCGGTCAGCAGTGAGTGGACAGGAAATGACCGGTTGGGGCAGAAAGCCAGTCTAGTTGAAAAGGGAGAGGTCATTGGGTACGTAGATGAGCTACTGTTCCGAGATCCTGATCATTTTGTGGCAGGGGAGCTCCACAAACATGCAGCTAATTGGGCAGAAATCGCAAAATTAGCTCCTTCTTTAAACCGGGAAGAGGTGTTGTCGTGGTTTGGGAATGAGGTGTCAATATTCCCATATTTCAGACATTTTAAAGGAAAGTTTAAGGGGGAGCGTTACGATTCCGATCAGCCACCCCACAGGTTGTTCAAGAATAACCTATCGTGCAAACAGTTTGAATAATTTGTCAGAACAACGCTATTAAGTGGCCTGAAATCCGGTGCAATTTCTCTAGTGGGTAAGGTTGGTCAAGTAAGTCCACCTCATATCGTTTTACCGTTAACAGTTGAGCCTACGAAGCCGAGACTTTGTCATGATGCGCGATATCTAAACCTGTGGATGCTGGAGAAGTCCTCTTTGTTGGACAGAGTGACCGACTTACCCCGGTATGTCTTCAAGGATTCTTATCAGACGGTCCTGGACGACAAGTCAGGATATGACCATCTCTTGCTATCTGAAGAAAGTCGCACGTATTTTGGTATCATTTACATTCCTTGTATAATCCTGTGGTATGCAAATACGAAGTTTGACATTTAAGGAGAATAAAGAGTGTTTTGATCGATTACAAGTCTCTCGTCCTTTCTCTACTTATGATCTCCCCATCGTTGCCAAGTTGTTTACACCTTCCGTTAGATGTCCAGTATGATCCCATGAGAATGACCAAGATTTTAGATTCTGCCAACGTTGTGGTTATAACCGACAAATCGTGACACCGAATAATATTGACAAGACTGACATCGATCTGGAGAGCATTGACCAGCGCTTACGTCAACTAATGGACTTTGATNGATTCTGCCAACGTTGTGGTTATAACCGACAAATCGTGACACCGAATAATATTGACAAGACTGACATCGATCTGGAGAGCATTGACCAGCGCTTACGTCAACTAATGGACTTTGATCGTGTTACCAGCTATGCTAAACATAAGGACTCGCTAAGAACGGAGTTTGAAACCTTTCTTGCTTCACTTCCTGGCCATATCGCATTAGCCACCGTGACTCCACGGGATATTTGCCGGATCCTTGTTTTTAAAGACAAGAATGGGAAAACTCAGATTCACCGCAATGGCTGTAAGTACATCGGCCAAGCGCGACGATATACTTGTGGATGTCCTATATGTCTATCTTATAAGACGGTGGACTCTTATATTGGTAAGCTACGAGCTATTCTCCATTCTATTGGACGAGACGGCGAGTGGGACAAGCGTCTAGGCCTAGGCAACCCAGCGTTTGACAAGTCGGTCGGTGAAGGATTTTTTTGAGGCTGGTAACCACGGAACAATTACAGGCACAGGTAACTCCAAAACAGGCCACCCCTTTCTTCGTTGATAAGCTAACACAATTATGTTCACACCTAGACAGAAGATTGAGAGACTCAGACAGAGCGATTGACAGATTTGTGATAGCCCGCGATCAATCGTATATTAAACTAGTTTTCTTTAGTGGAGAGCGACCTGGGGGCTTGGGACAGATTAAGGTCCTTGAAATCCTACGTTTCCCCAACGACGACGGTTTCCTTTTCAATCACAATTGGGGAAAGACGTTAAGGGATGGGGAAGAGAATGTGTTTGGAGTGAGGAGAAATGCGCAAGCAGAAATCTGTCCTGTTCGAGGCATCGAGCGTTATATGGAGGTGACGCGTGATATAAGGGTGGATTTAACGTGCGGTTACCTATTTCGTCCAATCGCACCTGATTTGGGCATAAAAGACGCCCCTTTTACTTCCTCTGCAGCTGAATCACGCTTAAAGGGTTACCTTAAGGAGATGAATGCAGATAACGGCGAGACGCTCCATGGTTTCCGCTCCGGCTGTGCCATCACTCTAGCTCTTGCAGGTGCGGATCTGGCCGAGATCATGGATCGTGTTGGTTAGACTAGGCGTCACACAGCCCTATACTACATGCAATTAGCGAAAGTCTTAAATCCGGCTGGAGCCTCAGCTCGGTTGGCCTCGAACATCGGTACGGAACCGTCCTGTTCATGGTAAGATATTAACCAGCTGAAACGGTTTGTGTGTGCATTCCCTGCAGTCAACCGCGGGAAGAGATCTTACGAAAAAGAGCATCTATGAGGCTAGGCGAATAATCCCTTTACCAGACTTGGAGAGCTGGGTTTCGGTTTAGTTTTGGGGAGTTATGACTTGGTTTGGGGGCTGACTTCTTGGAGAATCTAACGATGGTCTCTTTTAATAGGTAGTCATTAGTACTGGGGAGGAGTCCATCGTTAGCCTGGTCGACGAGAACAAACTGGGTGACACTATAAGGAACGGAAGCCAAATTTATCCCCAATCTTATTGCGGTGCGACAATGGGCGCAGTGTGGAATAGTTTACTATTTGTAATACTGTGGTTATGCCATTACATTACTGGTATTTATACACTAGCGGGTTCATAGGAAAAAATTCACGCCTTTCACCTAAAAAGGTTGAAAATGATTCGACATGATTTTTGAACTGGCGCGCAGAAGAAAATTTAGTATCGGTCTGATAGTTTCCCCTTGGAAATTTGATGTTCTTAAAACTAGCATATTTGTTTTAAGAAAGTGAAATTTCTGCGGGGCAACTTTCATCCGATAGTTCGTCAACAGGAACACTCTATTATTTAGTCTGCAGTGGCTGGAGGTTGTCAAAATGGCGACGTTTTTCTCGATTTCCCGAAGTTTTGGAGCCAGGACGATTTAGAAACGTCAGTGGATAATCAGTTCGCGAGATACAGAAGAATTAAAAACTGACTTTCACAGCCACTGGACTTTAAAACTCCAAATTGTTAACAAACATTACGATAAGTACCCGTACACAGTTGGTGTGATTTTGCCAAGGAGGGAAATTTACGACTGGGGAGCGGATTTTAATGGCTGAAACTCCTTGAAGAAACACTGAACAAACAGAAAAAATGGATTGTCTTCTTCAGACGAATCTTTTATATCGAACGCTTATACGCATCTCCAGAAGCAAAAAATTTGGAGGCGGTGGGCACGCTGGTCATATCACAGAGTTATATGCACAGAACCTCAAAGATCACTGAAAAAGAGTACAAACTTGTCAAGCAGCACTCATTTTAGAGACAGCAGCTTTTTTGGGAAAGATGGGAAAGATTCAAATAAAGGGTGTTCATCATGAAACGCCACTATTTTTAGCTGTCAAAGTACACTTGAAGAAATAATAATAAAAGAAACACTCTTATTTCTGTTTTCAGGCTCGATATCCGGCGGTCTCTTGAGCCCAGTCTACTAGCACAGGCTCCTTTCCTGGACAGAGAGTGGTAATCGAGCTAATTTTGAATTCAACAAACATCTGTCCAAAATATCCCAACAGGGAATATTGTTGGCTAAATTGGAACGAAATCACACACGATCACGAAAATGGTAGTTTTCTATTTTCTTTTATAAAACTGAAGGCAGAAGTTACACAACATAATCACCACATTTCCAAGCATTCTGAAGAATTTTGCACTGGATAATTACGCAGACCTCTGCCAGAAGTGTATAAAAAAAAGACAACTTGAAAGATTGTGTCAGCAGTGTCCTCAAGTCCAAAGATCTTTGACAAGAAGTGATTTCAAGCGTGCTTCTTTCCTATTAGCATTTAACGATATTTTGACCTCATTTAATCACAAGTCAATTCCCTGCTTGCCCTGCCTGCTGTCCTTGAAGCTGAGTCATTAGTTTTTCATCCTGCATGGACATAGAAGTCAGTTTCTTGCCAATCCTGTCGTGAATCTCCAAATATTTTGCAACACAGCGATCCAAGCAAACTGATTCTCCTTTGGTTAGATCACCTTCTTTGTACTTGGGTGATATACACTTCTTTTGACATGCAACTGTTAATCTGAAAACCAATAAGTAATAAGTACCAATTATTATATGGTTGTGTCTCACAAGGACTGGGAACTACCGAATTCACGAATTTGATTGGCTGAAATCGATATTGACCGCGGTCTAGATTTTCCCANGACAAAAAAAAAAAGTAAAGAGGACGAGCAAATTTCGGCAGGTTTAAGTTAAGCTCATCGCCGTTCGCAAGCAAAATGTCAGCAAACCAGTTATATTAAATGAATTAAAGCTTTCTTCTTTGCCATATAATAAACATCTTATTAACCGAGCTAAGTTGGTCTGTATGGGAGAATCTTGACCTCGGTCATGTGTACAGACCTCACTGCATTCAGTCCGTACTCACAACCTCAGTCAAGATTTTCCCATACAGACCTCCAGCTCGGTTAATAAGAGCTAAGTATAATTAATCAGCACGTGAGTAACAATATTATTATCATAATATAAACACAGGTGTTTTCCTGGAAAATACACCAGTCCAGTTGTAAAATTCATACGAAACTACATCCGAGACCCAAGTGGTATATTTTCCATATCTTCACTATTGAAGATATTGATGGCATCCCTTTCCACATTTTGATGGTTGTTTGTGCAAACAGTCAGATTGTCTGTGTAATGATAAGAAAATAACACAGTGGCTTGACAATTTGAGATATGAATCTTATTTTCTCATGTTAAAACAATATGTTAACTTATAAAACTTGTTACAACTGTAAAATCAATCCTCCATTGACCAAAGGAAAATGGATGGTGGCTGTACATTTTATCATAATAACAAGCATGAACCCATAAGAAAAGCAGGGGTTTCATTAAAAGCCGGGCAAATTGATCAGCTGTAAGGACAGTTTATCCGCCTGGTTAGACCAGTTTTTCTTATCTAAAGAGGTTCAGTTCAAATAGTTTTGCCCGTCTGTGAAAACCAGTTACTGTCCTGCTAAAAATGTTCATAACACAACACCCCTGCATAAGGCACAAGTGCATTACTAGTGCATGACGAGACATGGCAAGTTTCTACAAGTCATGGAATATTAACAAAATATACATGTATGATGAATAAACTTGAGAACATGGTGAGATGATGGTATGATGATCACTGTGGGACATTCCATTATGACTCTGGATTTTTTTCAGATTATCCCTTGGAAATTCTTCCAATTCTCGGACCAGATAATTCCAATTATCTGGGAGTCGCAGACTGGTCTTCCATACGGGTCACAGGCGAAACACTCCATACTAATTCTGTCCACTTTTTGGTATATTCCAGGGAAAATTTGGGAAAAGTTGATTCAATTTTGTGGTGTAATCAGCAGAGCTTTACTTTAACATTTTCTATTTTAGGGTTCATAACTGGTAAAACTGGCAATCTCCTGGGTTTCGATACTTTTTTTAGATTGGCATCTCTCTAAAACCCTTCCACCACTTCTGAGCTACCAGGGATATTTTTTTTTCATTTACCAGTGTTAATGAGACTCTGGTAATGATTTCCCCAGCTAAAAGTTTAAAAAGCCCTTTCTTCAAAAAATAATGTTTTGAAATTATCAAACATTCTGGTTGATATTTAAGGTAGCTTACTACAGTTTTGATGAATTATAACAGCCCAACTTCTAACTCTTGAAAAATGTTCCAAGATGTTTTTCCTTTCTCTNTCGCTGTTACCAGTAATAGTGCCTGACAAAAATGCAGAAAATCCCATTTTGTACAGGAATGCTTGTTATCCAGGCTAATTATCTGGCAGTTAATCAGTTGATCAGTCAATTCAGGTAATAATAGTTTCATTTCAGGAAAAACATAATGCAAAAGAATTAAAGAATACACAATAAAACTATTTCATTTATTCTAGGAGGTAGCTAAATTAATTTTGCTTTCTGCGAGTTAATCAATACCACACGGCACAAATGAATTGCCAGGAGTTTTATTTTGCCAATAACGAGGCACATGATGTCTAAAAAAGAATGCAAATTATTGGAACCCTGCGAGAGTCAGACAACATAAGCGTGTTCGGAGAGAAATCAGAGGAAAATGAACGCCAAATTTCGATTTAAAAATTGTTTTAGGAACACTTCCTTACACGCTTGAAAAAGCGTCAATTATCTTCCACAATTCTGTTTTGTTTGTCTGAGTTTGTCTGGGTTAAGACATCACTTACGCGCTTCACTATTGTTGGTTTCTGTTTTATGTGGGATCTTACTCAAGGTTTGTACCTTTTGAAGCTTTTAAAATTCCATGACTTTCCATGACCTTTCCAAGTTTTCCATGACCAAAGTTAAGCAGTTGTTCTCACAGCAGTACAAAAACAATCATTTATTTAATGTATTTTCCAGCATTATAATGCATAAAATGTGTGTTTGTGTCTATTTCTACTGAAATTGAAGCCTGTTTCTGACTTGTGTGTTATTTTTTCAATTTTTAAAATATCTTTTTGCCAAGCATATTTTTATTTCCATGACTTTCCATGACCTGGAAATTGAAATAACAAATTCCATGACTTTCCAGGTTTTCCATGACCTGTACAAACCCTGTTACTGTACATACAGGTACATGTTTGCTACTCACATGTAAANTAGGAGAGACTGGGAACTAACAGGTTAAATCACATTTTTCTCAAAATCTACCCATATGACCCCACCTCAAAATTTCAGGAATAAGAAATTGGCTCTGATTTAAAATCTATGCAAAGTAAAATAAATCTGTAGGACAGATTTTTTGCAAACTAAGAAAATGTGAAATCAAAAATAGCTCAAAAGCTGTGTTACAGATTTTTTAGAATTTTGGCTCTAAACGTGATTCACTCCAACAAATCAAGCCTGTAAATTTCATCATGAGTTGTACGGTAGGTTTTCGAACAATCCTTGACCAAAGACTGGCGTTTACAACCTTGGACAAGAATTGAATTGCGCATGCACTTTATTTAAGCCCGCGCTCAAAGCAAGAATAAATTAGAGCTCTTTTAGCAGTTGTTTATTGAATTTTTTTGTCATATTTTTTTGGTCCTAGGCTTAAACACATGTTTGAACAGAGTTGAAACTATTGCTATGTATACCGAAGTGATTTAATGCCTTTCAAGCACAGAAGTGGTTTTCATTTCTTCTTAGGGTTACTTGCACCATTTTCACATGCATGATTAATACTGACATCTGGCAGGCAATCATAGCGTGTGCTACTGAGTCTCAGAAAAAACTGTAGTAAGCTACCTTAAGGTGGCTCCCTATAGTTTTATGATCGCCAAAAAACAAAAAACAGTAGTGAGGGCCGGGTCACACTAGAATAGATTCAAATATTTCCAATTTTTTGCGAGGAAAAAAATTGGCAGAAATTTTACAAGTTCCAAATTTTGGCATTGGTCGCATCAGATCAACATGTTTGAACCAAAACATTACTGATTGAAATATTCATCACAAGATCTATATTTCTTAAATAAGTATTTCATTAGATTTCATGCAATGCAAGAGTTTAACTCTTTGCAGATTTTTCTCCACACTGCATGTTCTTGACTCTCCACTTTCCAGCAACTAGTGATTTTCAGCACATAATTTGACAAGCAGTTTTTGCTCGGCTCACGTTTGTGTTGTTGCTTGTGCCACTTGCGATCAAAGAAGATTGTCTCGCTGAAGCCATCCATTCAAATTGCCGCTGTACCCAGATCCAGGGTATGGGCCATAAGAATATGAATAAAAATGCCCCTCATATTTCTTGTTTCCATTGAAATAACTGTGAAAAACATCAGATGGACCGGGTAAAAAATGATTTTGTCCCACCATCCAATGCGCCAAACTGGACTAGCCAACCAAAGTTATTTTCTCGCCATAATTTTATCCAGACATGTTTTAAAAAATATGACAGTTTAATGGTTAAAATGACAAAACTGTTTGCTTTGCCAACATTTGGAAGCCTCCAAGGCAGAACTTCGGCCTCTTTGAAGACTGGTGAAATTTTGGCAATCCGCAAAAAATTGGCAAGTTTTTGAAACTGGGGGCGCACTTGTTTTACGCCACTTTTTGACAGATTCGGTACTTATACGAACAAAACTGGCTCTAGTGCGACCCGGGCCTAAGCCACCTTAAGCTAAATTTGATCCGCGGCGATATCCTCGCTCCTTCATGTCAAAACTCGTTGAAGAGTGAGGTATGAAACAATATAAAGGCGCTACTGTTATCATATAAGATGAAAAGAAATTGCACGGTATTTTGAAACTTGGCCATAACATTTTCTTCTCATCCATTGTCAATCAAGCAGCCTCAATCAAGATGACTGTAGCGTTATGGTCGTTATGGACCCAGCAGAGAGCAATGTCTTTACACTCACCGGTTGTACAAGTCTGTCATCATTTCAATTTCGAGTTCTGCAACCATCTGTGCTTTTGCCGGATCCATGGTCTGCTAACTAACAAAGATCTCTGACTAAAATGTTGTTTGTACTCTAACACTCTCTTACACGTGATCACCAAAGAGCTGGAGATTCTTCCGCCATTTTGGAACTGGTTCTCATGGGTAAAACCGCAGACTATTAACCTGCCGTTCCTCGGCCCAGATCACTGGCTAGATGGTGTCGCTCCTTTGGTCTTTCTCGCGACTTTCACTGTTTTAATTGCACTGTTAGCTTGCAGAGAAACTTTAACTTGCTAATTAATCACGAAAGTAGCTCCCTCCCCGAAAATAGCGAGACCAAGGTTCAATAGAATATTTATTTTTCAATCAATATATAGTCAAGAGAAAGTTGCGTACGGTAGGCTTGAGATGTAGTCACTCTACAATAAGCGAGGGTACCGTTTATGCCACGAAGCCAGTGAAATGTCCATTCGTGCTTCATCAGAGCCTGTTGAGCCGTGTTTAAGAATCAAAACAGTCGAATTTTCTTCAAGCAAAAGAAACGTAATGGGACAGGAATTTTTCTTTTTCTTTAAATCAACATTGAAAACTCTGTATCATTCTTGAGTTATTTTTACAAAAAAATACCTCTTAGTCGGCGCGTCGAGTATGTTACGGGTCAATGGGTGAGTGAGTGAGTGAGTGAGTGAGTGAGTGAGTGAGTGAGAG